ATAACACCTAGACAAAATACAAATAACACATAGATAAGTAACCAATTAATCAAGTAACACTTAATTCAATTAAACACATAAACAATTAGTCAAATAATCAATTAAACAATTAAAAAAAATATAATAAAAATAAATAAATAAATACCGAGACTATCCTTTTAAAATTAGGGGTATTACAAAAAGCTTCACAAAGAAGTGGTCTAAACTGGTGCCAAAGTCTCATTTAACAAAAAGTAAGGAAACAGATAAGAGAGTTCTACTATTTCATCAATTATATAGATCATGGTCAAAAATGATGAACCAGAGACCTTCAAGTGGTCAATTTGTAATTCTATGCATCATTCAATTGAGAGATAATTGTTAAAAAATTAAATGGAAAAATATGAAAACATGAAACCTAACAAATGCAATAGCTGGAATTCCTCCTACATTTATTTGGAAGTGCAAAATCCCTTTTGGGAAAACCATAATGTCTCCCTTCTTAAGTGTTTTCAAGTAAACAAACTTTGTTGTCTGAAGAAGATATCAAGCCTGCACTAATTCTCCCTTGAATTAACAACCTACAACATTTCATGTGCACTAGGGTGTGTGTGCATTGGTATCACTCCCCCCAGGGCTAGGTCAGCCCGGGCCATGGAGAAACCAAGCCCATTCAAACCAGGGAATTGGGCAACAAATGCTGGGGTCACTGCAGCTTTTATCAGATTGGAAGTGTTACCTGCCATGGCTAGGCCAGAAAATGCAAATCGTCCGTGGTCACATTGACAGCCTTCTTGCAGGGGTAGCCGGCTGGTCCAGTAGGCAATGTTAAGTTTGCAATGCAGAAGTCTAGTGCTGCAGTGTGAGGGGAGGAGGAAATTAGGAGTACCAAAAAGATGAAGAGATGGAATTGGGAGAAACATATTCACAAGGTGTGTGTGAGTGTGTTTTGTGATTTAGTATTTCAGGGTTACTGTATATGAATATTGTGCCATTTATATAGAATGTTGTGGCATGGGTGTTTTTAAATTTTGGGTGGAGACAAGATATTGTCTTAGGCTCTTAGTCTTATCGGCAACACAATGATTCGACTATTGCAAAATGTTGCAGTAGTTGCAACTAGCAAGTGTATCCATCAATGTGATTAAGAGGATTGAAGATACTAGACAATAATGCATGAAGAAAACAGCTCATTCTGATAAAAGTGGTGGGACTCTACGAAATCAATATCACTACAAAATTTCCTAACTTGGAACCTAAAAAGCAAATGAATTGTGTGTATATATATAAAAGCCTAAGCAGTAATAAGATCTATCGATCATACTTTATAATTGTACATGATGTTAGATTTTTTTAATGATAGCCTATTAAATGCTAGAAAATGAATTCAAAAGGGGAAGTATGTTTTGGTGATTCAAGAAAACACCCAATATCTCATGGAAGAGTTCCCGAACATCTATGCCCATTCTACTCTTTCAACAGAAGAACTGAATCTGTTCAGAAATCACCAAAACATGCTACTGGTTTGGACTATATCGTTGCCCTCCAATGTGATGTTTTTGTTTATACCTATGATGGGAACATGGCGAAGGCAGTTCAAGGTCATAGGCGCTTTGAGGACTTCAAGGACTATCAATCCAAATAGGTAAACATTCCATAATTATTATAGAGATGTTGTGTTTCCAATTGATTATTGCATCAGGTTTCGTGTTTCTAGTTGTTGCTGTTCTTGTTGTTGTTTCGTGTTTCTAGTGATGGAAATTTATTAGTATTGGTTTGTTGGTGCAGGATGAGTTTAGTAAAACTTGTTGACGAAGGAAAAATCTCTTGGAATAAATTCAGTTCTAAAGTGAAAAAAGCTTCACAAAGATCGAGTTGGAGGTCCATATTTAAGGGAGTCGGGCGAGTTCCCAAAACTAGAAGAGAGTTTTTACGCGAATCCCCTTCCACGATGTATTTGTGAAACAACACCGAAAGAGTTTTACAGTTTTAGTTTTAAGCTGTTTGATTATACAGTTTTGAGTTCAGCTACGGGAGGGGAGAATCAAGGAATTCTTTGGGGGAGTGGCGGTCTTATAATTTCATCCTCGAGAGAAAATCAATCCATCAGCTTGGAGATGTACCAGCTCAGAGGAAAGAAATGCAAAGAGTACGACGAGTTTAAGGAAATTGCAGCTTGATTTGAGGGTCTGCTGATGAGTAAGGTAGATAATTCTTGAATGAAATACATCAGAAAGTTCATTCTGTGGATTGGATCTCTTTACACTGAATTACATCTCCAAGAGTGAGATGTAACTTTTTCCAGGAGGTGGTATGCCATACTTTTATGTGGTTAGAAAAAACACTGAAAATACGAGGGGAATTGGAGATTATGCTAAAGAGATTGTTACTTCTGAATATCAATGATTCCAAAATAATTCTCTGAAGCTGTTTTTTTTTTTTTTTTCATCCCTTGTGCCCTAATTAGGTTCAAAAAATGCCCCACTTTTTCCTTCCCTTTCTTCTCGGGCGCACTCTTCTTGATTGTCAATGATTGGTGGCATTGATTGCGCTATTGGCAAATTAATTACTACAAAATGGTATATATTCTTCCCTCCATATCCACCACCACCACCACCATGTAAGCAATTTCTTTTTTGGAACATTTTAAATCCTTGGTTCAATCAGGGTCACACAATCACGCTATTTCATATATAATCTACTGATTTGGGTCAGGTTAATTTTGTAAGACCGCTTTAACATAAACATTTTAAGTGAGTGAGATATTTATTTTAAGAGGGAATAACCATTAATAATAATATAATAATAAAAAAATAAATCTGAATAATAAATAGTAAAAAAGGGGTCTTTTTTTTATTTTAATTCTTAACATTTTTGTGGTAATCGCTGGAAGATTACATTGGACCAACTAGTTAGAAAATAAAGGGATTTTTGTAATTTTGAAAGTTTTTCATAAGTTTTTTTTTTTATGAATTCTTTATGAGTTTAGCGGGGTCATTTTATAATTATGAAAATTTTTGTAAAAAATAAATAAAAAGATGAAAATTCCAGTGGAGCCAACTGACTTTCCACCGTTTTAAAGTAGATTTACTCGAAGAGAATCACGGATGATTAGATGATTAGTGGTTCACAAACCCTCCTCTGTTCATTTCAACTGATATATAATTTTTCTCACTTATAGAAATTATAGATATATACGGAAATACTACGTATATAATTTGGAAATGGACCCAATTTTCATTTAAATTGATGTCTCCTGAAAAGTCCGTGTTGGCAAGGGCTGTCTACATGATAGGTTTATCCCAAAAGTCACTGTTAAGGGGGAGGGGACCATAGATGTTGGGTTTTTATAAATTTTGGAGTCCCATGTTTGAAAAGTCCAACCCCACAGACATGAGAATCAATTTAAAGCCTACATAAATTTTTTTTTATCTGAACATCATTTGGGATTAAGATCCTCTGCTGTAAACGTATCGTACTGTATCATGCTATATCTATACTATAGTGAAAAATATATATTTTTTTTAAATTAGAAACTTTAGAGTTTCACCGAAAAAGGAACTAAAGTTCAAAAAAAATAAAATAGAAAGGAAAAAAAAAAAAAAAAAAAAAACAAAAAACAAAATATCCTTTTTATCAACACATTTTAATTTTGTTCTTTATTCTCAACACTTTTTAATATTTTTCTCAACAACTTAAATCTCGTCCTCAACAATTTTTAATATTTTTCTCAACACATTTAATGTTGTTATCAATACATTTAATCTTATTCTCAACACCTTTTAATCTTGTTATCAACACTTTTAATCTTATTTTCAACACTTTTTAATCTTATTCTCAACATTATTTAATCTTATTTTCAACACCTTTAAACTCTAACTCAACACATTTTAATCATTATCTCAATACCTTTTAATCTTTATCTCAACACTTTTGAAAACAAGATTAAAAAGTGTTAAGAATAAGATTAAATGTATTGATAACAACATTAAATGTGTTGAGAAAAAGATTAACAAGATTTAAGGTGTTGAGAAAACGATTAAAAAGTGTTGAGAACAAGATTAAAAGTGTTGATAAAAAGACTAAAAAGTATTGAGAACAAAATAAAATAAGTTGAGAAAAATATTAAAGGTGTTGAGAAACAGAAAGAAAATGTTGAGAATATTTTATTTTCCTTTTTTTTTTTTTTCCTTCTATTTTATTTTTTAGGTGATGCCTGAACAATCTATTACAGCTATGCTATTTTGAGGTACACGTGACGAGAGAGAGAGAGAGATGGTGTACGGGACGGTGACGAGAAAGGGAGGCGCTGAAGCAAAAGAGGATATTTTGTTTTCCTTTTTTTCTTTTTTTTTTTTTCTTTTTTTTTTTTTTTTTTTTTTGGTAGGGAGATGCTAAAGCAGAAGAGGATATTTTCTTTTCTTTTTTTATTTTTATTTTTATTTTTTCTTTTTATTTTATTTTTTTTAACGTCCAGGATCTGTTTACAACAGAAAATCTTAGTCCGTTCGTACAGCACGACCCGTTTACAGTAGATTTGTTAGAGGGAAGCCTAACAAATAAGTCTAAATATTATTATTCCGTGTTTAAATAATATATAATATTCAAATTTTGACTATCAAAATCCTAAAAAATGCATGTTGACTTTTATATCATTTTAGGTTGTCTGAATTTGGTGTGTAACTATTGAGGATTTACTCAAACAATTAGCGGAGGATTCTTATTCTTAATTACTCAATTGCCTTTTTTCTGTCTTGTTTCTTGTCATTATTTCTTGAGCCTCCACCATTGTACTATCTATCTAACCAAAGAGAAAAATACCTCAGTAATAAAATCGAGCCTCTAGTGCTCTTCCTCCCACGTGCATGTAGATTGTAGGCGCGCACTCGGCGGGTTATATCTCATGTTCTTCTCTTACTGTTTTGGGTGACAACAATGCTCAAATGGTCCTCTTTTTTTCTTTTCTTTTTTTTCTCTTTTTTTACTTTTAAGATGACTTTTCCCAATCCAATAATCAATGATTAAAGAAACATGCATAGTGAATTTATTCAAATAGAAGGAGTTTGCCTTCAGGTTTACATTAAAAATAAAAATAAAAAGTTGCTTATTGCAAACTTAGCATTTACACTCACCAAGCTTACAATTAATTTGACATCGAAAATTAATATAGTACACAAAGAAGCAGCCAACAAGAAGTAGAATCCTACACACAGACCTTAATTAAGTACCACAACAAATCAAGAAACCAGAAAACACCAAATTGATTGGAAGAAAATTAAAGTACGTAAGAGACAAGCAATTATTAATGTTGAGAGAGGTAGGTAGCTAGCTTAACCAGTGCCACCAAAAACAGCCTTGAGCTTCTTGACTTGATCATCATCAAGGAAAGTGACCTTCTCAATGTATTCCGAAGGCAAGTTGTTAGCAAACAAAGCATTATCTAGGATTTGGAGACCAGGGTCTGGATCACTGAAACTAACAAATTCGATCACCGGAACTCGTCCTGTATTGACTTGGAAGTGCAGTAAGCCTTTAGGAAAAAGCATAATGTCTCCCTGGTTAAGAGTTTTCAAGTAAACTTGGTTGTCTGAAGAAGATATCAATCCTGCAACAACTGACCCTTCAATAATAATCAAGAGTTCATGTGCACTAGGGTGTGTGTGCATTGGTATCACTCCCCCGGGGGCTATGTCTCCCCGGGCCATGGATAGACCTAGCCCGTTCAAACCAGGGAATTCGGTAACAAATGCAGTGGTCACTGCAGATTTGAAAATATTATTGGAGGTGTTACCGGCAATGCCTAGCCCGGAATATACAAAATCGTCCGCGGTCACATTGGCAGCATTTTTGCAGGGGTAGCCTGCTGGTCCGGTAGGCAATGTTAGGTCTGCAATGCAGAAGTCTAGTGCTGCAGTGTGAGGAGGGAAGGAGGAAATTAGGAGTACCGAAAAGATGAAGAGAATTGGGAGAGACATTTTCACAAGGTATATGTGTGTGTGTGTTTGTGATTTAGTATGTATTTCAGGAGGGTACTTTGCTCATGTATTTATAGAAGAATGTTGTAGCACATATGGATTAAGTTGGTCAATTAATCTTGGTCCATGAGCACATTGGAAATGGCGTATACGAAAGGCATAACAAGACATTATTTTGGCGGCTAAGAGCTTGCAAATTGACTACTACCATATCGTTGCCCTAATCCAAAGTGATCGGTGATGTTTTTGTGTATACCTATTACCTATGATCGATGGGAACATGGCGTAGGCAGTTCAAAGGGAGCTTTGAATGTTCACACCATAAATTGGGATGCCACGTGGCAGCCAATTGGATGTTGATATAAATTGGCATGCTAGGTGGCAGCCAACTGGATGTTGATCGGATTAAGAATGAAGTAATATGTTGACAAAAGTTGATACTAATTGGAAAACTATGGTCTGAAGTAGGATAAGCACACGTGGGTTATTGGATAAAATCTTATACTAACTAATAATATATTGGAACGTATGTGAAGAATAGTTATCAGAGGATGGAAGTCTTGAATGAAAATGATACGGCATCTTGTCCTTTCTTTTCAATGGTTTCTTAGTTTAGTCAAAAACTCCTAATTATTTTTCTCTCTTCCTAGTTTCATAATAATTTCAATTTTTTTTTTTTTCATGTTTTCGTATCACTTACACATTCATTTTATCCTTTGAGAATTCAAATTCTCACCATTTACATTTTCATTTTGAAAGATAAAAAAACATCACTAGGCCAAAAGAACCTGATAATAACAATTCCAATTTACTATTTCCTTTCAACTTATTCAATTTTCTTTAACTTCTCACCGATCACACTTTTAATTCAAATCTCGATCAATTACCTTTAGTATCCTTTTCATACAAGACATTTAGACATTTAGGACCCTAAAGAAAGTTTTTTTTTTTGTTTAATCCACCTAAAGAAAGTTTCACGTTTTCTATTTTTCACAATAGCATGTTGAATATAATTTTTAAAAGAGATTAAATTTGACCATATCTTTTCAACAATAAACAAATCGCGTGCATCACAAGTGATCGGCATTGAGGACTTCAAGAAAACTATCATGTGCAGATAGGTAAACATTGCAACCTACCATCGTCGAATGACTTCTAGAGACATGTGTGAATATATTACTGTTAGTTTGTTGGTGCAGGATATGAGTTTGGTATAACTTGTTGACGAGTATGATGAAGGAAAAATCTCTTGGAAAAAATTCAGTTCTATGGTGAAAAAGCTTCACAAAGAAGAGGGTCTAAACTGGTACCAATTTCTCATTTAACAAAAAGTAAGGAAACAGATAAATTAGAGAGAGAGTTCTATTATTTATGGTAAAAAATGATAAACCAAAGACCTTTCAAGTGGTTAATTTGTAATTATATGCATAATTAATTCAATTGAGAGATAATTAATGTTAAACCCTCCCAAAGAAATGGGTTATAATGATTTGGATTCCAAATTTATTACATGCAGAGTAAATTCCAGTTGATTTAATTTAGGGTTATGTGCAAAAAAAATTCCTCTATTATCGTACATATCAATCATGTGTGGTAAAAACACTCGTATTTTCATATTATCTTTATGTTTTGAGTTTTTCAGCTTTGTTGGTTGTAGATATATATGGAATAATATATTTTGGTAATGGACTCATTTTTCCTTTAAATTGATTTCTTTTGAAAAGCCCGTATTGGAACTTTATGTGAGCTTTGGCCACATGCTTAGGTTTATTAGGTGAAGAGGTGACCCATACCATCCATGTTGGGTTTCTAGAAATTTTGGAGGTTCTTGAAGTCCAGACCACACACACAAATAGATAACGTTATTCCATTAAATCTTTTATCAATTTAAACCCAATATAAATTCTCTTATCTCATGGGGCTATAATTGTCACACCCCAATCTCCAATGACCAAATAATTCTCTTATTCTTATTCCTAATTTCTCCTTTTCCTTTCTCTATCTCTTTTCATTATCATGGTTTCTTTTCGCCTCTACTATTGTTTTGGGTATGAAATTAGAGAAGGGAAAAAAACAAAAACAAAAAAAACTCATTAATAAAATCAAGCTTCTGCGAACTATCTCAAGTTCTTCTAATCTTCTTTTACATTTGTTTTTTGGGTGGAAATAATTATTTTCCTTTCTTAGGTGATATTCACTGATATGGTTTCCCAAATACGTTTCGAATAATGAATTTGTAATTTTCTAGCTGCAAGCTAACTTAGCTCTGATAGTTTCTGCTTAAATGTTACAAATTTTTGGGTCGTGCTTAATTGAAGCTTTCTAGTTTTCTAGTTTTAAGATGACTTTTCACAATTCAATAATCAATAATTAAAGAAACATATTATTCAAATAGAATTACTAAGGAATGTTGCTTATTGCAGACTTGGCAGTTACACTCATCAAGCTTACAATTTGGCATTGAAAATTAAGCAATCAAAGACAACTAGTACACAAAGAAGCAGCCAATTAACAACTAGTAGAATCCTACACACAGACCTTAATTAGCACAACAAATCAAGAAACTAGGAAACATGTACGAAATTGAATTGGAAGAAAAGTAATGGAGAGACATGAATTAATGTTGAGAAAGGTAGGTTAACCAGTGCCACCAAGAACAGCCTTGAGCTTCTTGACTTGAGCATCATCAAGGAAAGTGACCTTCTCAATCAATTTAGAAGGCAAATTGTTAGCAAACAAAGCAAAATCTAGGATTTGGAGACCGGGGTCTGGATCACTGAAACTAACAAATGCAATAGCTGGAATTCCTCCTGCATTTATTTGGAAGTGCAATATCCCTTTTGGGAAAACCATAATGTCTCCCTTCTTAAGAGTTTTCAAGTAAACTTTGTTGTCTGAAGAAGATATCAAGCCTGCACTAATTCTCCCTTGAACAACCAACAACATTTCATGTGCACTAGGGTGTGTGTGCATTGGTATCACTCCCCCCGGGGCTAGGTCTGCCCGGGCCATGGAAAAACCAAGCCCATTCAAACCAGGGAATTGGGCAACAAATGCTGGGGTCACTGCAGCTTTTATCAGATTGGAAGTGTTACCTGCCATGGCTAGCCCAGAAAATGCAAAATCGTCCGCGGTCACATTGGCAGCCTTCTTGCACGGGTAGCCTGCTGGTCCAGTAGGCAATGTTAAGTTTGCAACGCAGAAGTCTAGTGCTGCAGTGTGAGGAGGGGAGGAGGAAATTAGAACTACCGAAAAGATGAAGAGAATTGGGAGAAACATATTCACAAGGTGTGTGTGTGTGTGTGTGTGTGTGTGTGTGTGTTTTGTGATTTAGTATTTCAGGGTTACTATATATGAATATTGTGCCATTTAAATAGAATGTTGTGGCATGGATGTTTTTAAATTTTGGGTGGACATAAGATATTGTCTTAGGCTCTTAGTCTTATCGGCAACGCAGTGATTCGACTATTGCAAAATGTTGCCGTACTAGCAAGTGTATCCATCAATGTGATTAAGAGGATTGAAGATAATAGACAATAATATATGCATGAAGAAAACAGCTCATTCTGATAGAAGTGGTGGGACTCTGCGAAATCAATATCACTACGAAATTTCCTAACTTGGAACCTAAAAAGTAAATGAATTGTGTGTATATATATATAAAAGCCTAAGCGGTAATAAGATCATCATACTTTATATATATTTCTACATGATGTTAGGTCCTTTTAATGATATATAGCCTATTAAATGCTAGAAATTGAATTCAAAAGGTGGAGTATGCATCAAGTTGCTAAAGATATTATTAAATTATCAGAATTAATATGGTCCATGAGCACATGGGAAAGGCGTATATGAAAGGCATGAGAAGACATTCTTTGGCAGCTAAGAGCATGCAAATTGCCTATATGCTAGTTGCCCTCCAAAGTGATGTTTTTGTTTATATCTACAATGGGAACATGGCAAAGGCAGTTCAAGGTCATAGGGGCTTAGAGGTCTTCAAGAAAACACGCAATCCAGATAGGTAAAAACACTCCAACCTACCATTTCTTATCAAGTTCTTTTAAATTTTGACTGTTGGATCAGGCTTCGTGTTTCTTTGTTGGTGTTTGATTATACAGGTTTGAGTTCAGCTGCGGGAGGGGAGAAGCTGAAGGTTTTTTTTGGGTAGTAGTGGTCTTAAAATTTCATCCTCGAGAAAAAAATCAGTCCATCAGTTTGGAGAGATGTTATCAACTTAGAGGGAAGAAATGCCGAAGCGTACGATGGAACCAATACGATGAGGTTAAGAAAAGTGCAGCTGGATTTAAGAGGTTCTGCTAATTCTTGAATGATATATACATCAGAGAAGGTAGTTCCTTCTGTGGATTGGATCACTTAACACTGAATTACAGTTGGAAGAGTTGTAACGACCCAAAACTAAATACCAATCATTAAGAAAAAAAAAAGGAAAATCGGCATGATCTCTGCTAAAAAAGGATCTACAAATGCAATGGCCTTTTAAAACTTATCCAACCTGTCACAATACACAATACAAAAAAAATATGTATAATACATTCCTCAATACTACAACATCAACAACCTCCTTCAGTTAGGCCCATCATCGTCATCCCATTCAACTTAAGCATTTACATAGTCTCAATTTACATAAAAATAAATAAATAAAAAATAAAAATAAAAAAATATCTTAGTTATGTCACATGGCCATGATTTGCAAAAATGAATACTCTTTTTCATAGTTTAAGACTTCACCAAAGATTAACTAGTACACAAAAAGGTATCAAAATAGATCTCTAGTCCTCTTCATGCTTGAGAAGGATCGACATCCACTACATCTTTTCCTAGCCCTGAAAATGTTAAATAATGGGGTGAGCAAAAAACTCAGTAGGTGGTGCCTAAGACGCACCTCTTGTGACCCCGTGAACCCAAATAATGAACAGGACACTAGGGAGAGAGGTCATGCTAAACAGGGGAAAATATAATGTAAACCTGTAAGTTCTAAACAAATGAATGTCGTGCCATGAATGCAATGTTATGCATGTCACTCCCCATTTTCAAAAAAACATCCATCACTTCACAAATTGTTAATATAACCCGTCCTTTGGTGACTTCGCAGCGACACGAAAGAAGGGCTGGCTACTGTCCCTGACCCTTAGTACCCCCGCGGCATCATTTGGGGCCCAGATAGATCAACCACGCTAGGGCAATCTCCCTAATTCTCTCGAGGTTACATTAACACACCGGCCCTTTGGTGACTCCACGGCGATCGGGTTTTCTCAAAAACCGTTTCATCAGATTCCTTCCAAAACTCTCCTTTTCATTTGTTCAACATCATTTCTCATCATTCATGCCCCATGATATATTCAATGCTAGGGTAATAAGAAATTTCTATAATACTTCCATAATTAAGCAAGCTTTACAATAATTCTAAGAAAATTTCCATGAGCTTTCATGTATCATTTCTAGCAATTTTGTCAACACAATAATATAAAGAAATTACAATAATTCTAAGAAAATTTTCATATATAAGCTTCCATGTATCATTTTTAGCAATTTTGTCAACACAATAACATAAAGAAATTAATAATGAAGCATGTTTTCTATACAAATCAACAATTACATATATAATCATGAACTTTATACCCACAAGAAAATCATTCTAAAGGTAATTAATTTCAATTAAGCATGTTGGTATCAAATAACAAGAATTGACTTACAAAGGAACAAGAAAATGCAAATTAGAGACCCTTACCTCAATTTTGTGCAAAACTCCCAATTTTCACCTCAAACCCTAGGATTTTCAAATTTCCTATAGTGCACCAACCAAGGAATTGCTCCTATCAACTTGTAGGTCTCGTCGTGGGCTTCGAATAGCCGCAAACGGCTCTTAAAAACACTAAGTATTGAAGGAGAAATCAAGAGGTGAAGATTGAAACAAAGAAAAAGAAGAGTCTGGAACGAGAGAGAGGGGCTTACAGGAAATGAGAGAAAATTGAGAACAAAAGGTGGTCTCATGACCACTTTAAGTGTTTGTAGGTCCCAACAAAATTTTATTTTCTTTTTTTCTTTTTATTTCATTTTCTTTTCTTTATAAACTCCCACAAATTTCTATATATACACCCAACCAAATAAAACCCACATTAAAATGCATCAAATAAAATGCATGAAATGCTAATGGACTCAATTACAATCCCCGTACACGACAAATTCGGTAACGGGTCTCACACGGGACCGTCCAGCCTGAAAAATAGAAAAATGCGAAAATGATCACCCTTACATTTCAAAGAATCCTGAACTCAATGAAATGCCCCAGACAACTCGAGGACACAACCGGCACACTCCACAGTGTCCGGCTCGCATAACGGCAAAAGACAGAAATGCCCTTGCAGCAACAAAAGTTCCAGAAAAAATAAAAAAATAAATAAAGAAAATTAAAAACATCATAATCTCCCCAACTTAAAAGGATTTCGTCCCCAAAATCACACATGTGGGAGAAAACAACGCTGGGTACTTGGAGCGAACCTCCTGTTCGAGCTTCCTAGTAGCCTCCTTAACTCCGTGGTGTCTTACTCCTCAACACCTTCTGCTGTGTGTTAAGGATCTGAACTGGTCCCTCCTCGTAAAAAACATCCTCATCAATGTCCACATCAATCCAACTCAAAATGTGAGATGGATCCGGCTCGTACTTCCTTAGCATCGATACATGAAAGACATTATGGACTCTGTCCATCTGTGGTGGCGAAGCAAGTCTATAGGCAACCTCTCCTACTCGGTTCAAGATCTAAAAAGATCCAATGAATCGTGGCGATAACTTGCCACTCTTCCGTGGAGAAACCCGTAGAAAAACATGGTCTCCCACTTCAAAAGATAGTGGTCGTCTCCGCCTATCCGCATAGCTCTTCTGTCGCCTCTGAGCTATGAGCGACCTCTATTTGATCAATTTAATTTTCTCGGTAATCTCGAGTACAATGTCGGGTCCTAAGGCTGTTGTCTCGCCTACCTCAGTCCAACAAACTGGAGACCTACAGGGTCTACCATACAACGCCTCAAATGTAGCCATCTCAATGCTCGCCTGATAACCATTGTTGTAGGCAAACTCAATGAGTGGAAGGTGATCCTCCCAACTGCCTCCCAAATCAAGTACACATGCTCAAAGCATATCCTCCAAAATCTGGATGGTACGCTTCGATTGGCCGTTGGTCTGTGGATGGAATGCCGTACTCATATACAACGCTGAACCAAACGCTGCTTGAAGTCATTCCCAGAACTTCGAAGTGAACTTGACATCCCTGTCCGAAGCAATAGTTACTGGAACTCTATGCAACCTTACAATCTCCTTCACATAAAGAGCATCAAGTGCCTCCGCATCATCTATTGCCTTAATAGGTAAAAAATGAGCCGTCTTGGTCAATCTGTTAATGATGACCCATACGGCCTCGTTGCCTCTCCATAATCTTGGCGGACCTGTCACAAAATTCATAGCAATCTGCTCCCATTTCTACTGCGCTACAGGCAATGGTTGCAATAAATCGACTGGTCTCTGATGCTCGACCTTCACCTGTTGACAGGTAAGGCATCTAGCCATAAATTGTGCAACATCTTTCTTCATTCCGTTCTACCAATACTGATGTCTCAAAGTGTGATACATTTTAGTACCACCTGGATGAACTGCAAAGCGGAAAGTGCGAAGCTCCGGTAGAACGTCCTCACGACAAACTATGGGAACAACCAATAAACCCTTAAACCGTAGACCTCCATCTGCATGCGAGGTCCAATCTTTCACTGTCTCAGCACCCGAGATCAAAGTGTGAATGGCATCCAAGTCCGGATCCTGTTTCCGCGACTCAATCACTCGTCTGACAAGAGTAGGCTGAGCCACAAGACTAAACAAGATTGCCGACTCACTACAACCATCATCATCAAAACAATGCAATCTCATTTCTGCCAAATTCTCAAGCATCTTCTATTTCTGAATGGCCAAACTAGCCAAAGTTCCACGAGATTTCAGGCTTAAGGCATCTGCTACCACATTTGTCTTGCCCGGATGATACTGCAAGTCAAAGTTATAATCTTCCAAGAGCTCAACCCATCACCTCTATCTATTGTTCAAGTCCTTTTGGGAAAAAAGGTATTTGAGACTTTTGTGATCCGAAAACACCTCGAATCTCTCACCATACAAGTAATGTCTCCAACACTTCAAGGCAAATACAACCGCCGCTAACTCTAAATCATGAGTAGGGTAGTTAAGCTCGTGAGTCTTCAACTGTCGAGACCCATACGCTACCACTCTATCATCATGCATCAACACACATCCCAAACCATTACGTGAAGTGTCACAATAAATCACGTAACCCAAGCCACGCTCAGGTATCACCAACACTGGAGACGTAGTCAACCTTATCTTTAATTCCTGAAAGGATGACTCACAAGCTTCATTCCATGCAAACTTAATCCATTTTCGGGTCAAACGGGTCATAGGCACTGCCAAGCGAGAAAAATCCTTTACAAATCTTCGATAGTAACCCGCTAAACCAAGAAAACTGCAGATTTCAAACACATTCTTAGGTTGCTCCCAATTCAGAACTGCCTCTATCTTTGATAGATCAACCGATACTCCACCTTCT